ATTCAGTTTTCCTTTTGAGACCTCCAAATGTTGCTACCTCTTGTATGAATGGTGTCAGTACTTCCTAGATAGCCTGTCCCAAGTTGAATTCAATATATATTGGGCTAATAGGGGACAAAAAAAAAAAATGCAAACAAGAAAGGAACATGAATAACAGTAACTGGAAGAGAAAAAAAAAAATGAAAAAAATTAATTTGAGCTCTGAAAGATTTATTCAACTTTTATGTAAAATGAAAAAGGTAGGGAAAATTGCTAAAAAGAGAAGGTGGCAACAACTGCTGCATTGTGACTGTACTTCCTTCATCGCTGATTGGAAACGTTTGCCACTGGAGTGGAATAAAAACCTTCATGAAAAATGAATGCTGTTTGTGTACCTCTGCGTTTATTTCCTTTTGAACTTTCAGCACAGTCACAGGGCCCAAGAGCTCAAACAGTTGAAGGCATAGAATACAAGTTGACAAAATTCATTTCCATTCACCAGCCCAGCAGTTACCACAGTCTTCAACAGGCCACTTCATTCCTCCTTTTCTGCCAGGAAAAGGAAAAATAACACTGCTTGTGTACCTCACAAAAGAAGAGTGGTATTACAGTGATTACTGGAATATAGGGTTTACTAACAGTTTTGAAAGAGCAGATGCTCGCTTACTGAGTTCTGTCAGGGGACATTATTTTGACTACTAAGTCTCCTGAACAAACACAGCAGAAAAATGCAGAATTATCTTATTTATAATTCCTGTTACATATTAGTACAGAAAACAAAGAAACTTTGAGTTATAGCACACGTGAAATGGTTTGAGCATGCTGTCCAGCAGCCTCACAGGACATTCTCAGAAGCATTTTGGTTTGTTTACACCATTATTTCTGATTTGGCTCACCTGGCAATATACTTTTTTTTATAAAACTTTGCAACATGGGTACTGCCAGGCACTGGCAATAACAAATTATTATCTCTTTTTGTCCTAGCAACATCACTCAGTGTCAGAAATTAAGAGTAATCAAAGAACAAAGTGTAAGATGTAGCATTAGAATTACTGTGAAGAATTACTTTGTCAGGAGATGAAGCACACTGAGGAAGATTCATGGAATGAAATGAACGTGGTGTTAATTCTGTCAGTCTGAGAGCTGTAATGTCACCTTTTCTCCTTTGAAGAGTGGAGTGCTGCATGAACTGCTCGACTGATCAAGGGGTTTGGGCTGGAGCTGTGTTTCCTGGGACAAAAGAGCAGGATGAAGAGATGAAAAAGACCTTTCAGAGGTCATTCAGTCTGGCTGATAAAGGATTATTCTCCACCATCTTTACTTTAGTTCTAAAATTCCCAATCAACAAAGTTCCTACGACCATCACAATTTACTCTGAAAATTTTTTCTTTTTGATACTTGGTAAAAACACGGCATTTGTATCAATGATTTTGGTCATTCATCATCATCATCATGATCAATGATAATATGTGAAAAATATGTATGTTCTAAATGGATGATAATATATTTAGAAGAAAATTAAATAGTCTAATGACCTTTTAATGCATTTAAGTATAAAAACATCTAAGCAGTGACACAAAGAACAGGGCTATTAATGCTCTTGCATGGCAGAGATAAGATGGAAACCTGAGACATTTTTTTCAGGCAAAAGGAGTGAGAGAGAGGGGAGAAGCTCCCAATTTGGGATGTCTTGTCCAGTAAGTTCAGAGCCGTAGCAGATGCATTTCCCTTGATAAAGAGGCACACACTGCAATCCACTGCAGTGCCCCGGCAACAGGACTGGAGATGACCAAACTGATACCAGGTGCTGCAAGAACAGAATTTCACTCTGCTCAGCCTTATTTTTTCAGCCATGGCAACTCCTTTGCCAACTCTGATGCAAAATCAAGGCCCTATCAGCCACTTTTTACATGAGCCATGTCTCAAACCCAACGATTCTTCCCTAAGATAATCCAGAGAGATCGTAACAAACCTAAAATTAGAAATCAGGAGCTGTAGCTTCCGAGGAAATGCATATTACGTGACGTTTTTTCATTACTACATGCATTTACTGTTAGTAAAAAAGGCCTAGAGAGAACACTCTACAGTGCAAAAATCCTCCCCCAGAACTCAGGGGTGACTAAAAACACAGTGTTTTACTCACCAAATTTTATTAAAAAACCCAACATTTAAAAGAAACAGTAAAGAATTATATAAATAATTAATTCTGATGATTAAATAAGGGCTATAGCATCACAGCCCACAGCTATAACGGCATCACCCAAACTAAGCAGCTGATTTTAAAAATGACTGTGAGAAAACCAATCTATGAAGGCACCCTAATCTGTTCAAAGCACATAGCACAATTATTAATTCTCCAGAATAACTTAATGAAGTAAAACTTCACTTATATATATATATATCTTACACTGAAAATTCAAAACTTAGGAGGAACGTTTCATTGATCACAAGTGGTGAAAATCATCTTTACACATGAACTCTGGTATTTATTTGAACAACTTGACTGCTAACAGGAATTTTAAGAACAAAGAGAAACGCTTTACCTCAGGAATATTTCAGAAAAAAAAAAAAAAAAAAAGCTTTGGCCCTCCTGAGCTCTCCACACCTATCAAATTACAAGGAAATTAGGAAGTGCATAGTTGGGAAAATGTCAAATCACAGTACACCATTTGCATACAGAAGCTCTCCCTGAATAGTGTGGTCTTCAGACTGGTGGGGAAGCTCTGGTTTACTATAAACACAACAATCCTAGAACTATTTTAAATGGCAGTTTATAGCTAAAAAGGTAAAACAAAGATTTTATGTGTATCTTGTTGTGGTGCATTCTGCATGCACTACCTTGGTCTGCTTAGCTGTGCCAGACAAGACTTTACCACTGAAAAATATACGGTCTAATGGACTCTTTAATTTAAAAATAATTCCCCCAGCATTTGCATAGCAGAACACCTTATATGCTCCTCCCAAATTCTCAGACCTCCAGACAATTACAGAAACTGGATAATGGATGGAACACTGGAACACACTCTGGCACCTCCTGGAAGTGGCCTAGGAGGGACAGTGCTCAGGTGACCCCCTGGTCATGTTAACTCCACACCACCTCCTGCTCAAAAAGTAACATTACATATTTATACAGCAGGGAGAAGGTGACTAGGCCTGTTAATGCTGAGCGCTTGAAGGAAGAACAACCTGGGCTGGGTGAAGCTTGTGGACGGCAGGAGGCTGATGGCAGTGCTGGATGCACGGAGAGCTCCTCCAGGGCTGGTTGGGGGCCCACACCTCTCACTGGGCAGCCCTCGGGATCCCTCAGGATCCATCTCTGCCCCATCACTCCCTCACCGCTCTCAGCCCCTCATCCCTCATTCCCCTTCAGCCCCTCATCCCCCATTCCCCGGTCCCCTTCCTTCAGCCCCCCATCCCTCATTCCCCACCGCCCCTCATCTCTGCCACCCTCACCCTCCCGGTTCACACCCTGCTTGTCCCCCTCAACCCTGCAACCACCCCAGCCTTCATCCCCTACAACCCCTCATTCCTTCACCTTCCTCATATCCCTTATTGCTCTCATCCATTCCCTGTATCTTGCCATTGCCTCATCCCTCTCATCCCCTCATCCTTCATCCCCTCGCTCCTTCATACCACCATTACTCTCATTCCCTCACTCCTTCATTCCCTCATCCCTCTCATTCCCTGAGTCCTTCATTCCCTCACTACTTCATTCCCCTCATCCGCCCATTCCCTCACTCCTTCATTCTCTCATTCCCTCTCACCCCCCTCACTCCCTCAGGCTCACATTCCCGCCCCCTCCCCAGCCCCCGCGCACGCGCACCCGGCCCTCGCTCCCTCCCCGTCGCGCGCCCGGAGCGGCGGGGCCGCGCATGCGCGGCGGGGCGGGGCGGGCGCGCGCCCGGAGCGGCGGGAGGAGGAGGAGGAGGAGGAGGAGGAGGAGGAGAAGGAGGAAAAAGAGGAGGAAAAGGAAAAAGAGGAGGAGCGCACGGTACGTGAGGGGCGGTGAGCGGGGCTGGTCCCTCCCGCTCTCCCCGACCCTGTCCGCCGGGGCCGGGAAGACCAAGGAGAGGAGGAAAAGGAGCAACCTGTGCAGGGCTCGCCGCCGACTGCCGGCCAGGCCCGTGTCCGAGCGGGACCGGCCCGTAAGGGTCGGCTCAGGGCTCTTTCACAGAGTATGGAGAAGGGAACACTGAGTGGGGATCCCGTGGATCCACACAAACATCTCCGAGGGCTGCCAGAGGACGGGGCCGGGCTCTGCTGGGCGCTGCCGATAATAAAATAAAGGGCAGCGAGCGGCAGCCCGGCAGGAGGAAGAACTTGTGTCCATGGAGGGGCAGAGGCCTGGAACAGCTGCCCAGGGAGGGCCTGGAGTGTCCCTGTGTGGAGCCATGGCAGCCCCAGCTGGGCACGGCCTGGGGCACTGCTGCAGGGGACCCTGCTGGGCACGGCCTGGCAGGCGGCAGCTCCACAGGAACCTTCCAAACCTAATAATTCAGGGATTCGGTGATTTTTCACAGCTGCCGATTTCCAGAAGCGCACAGCTCTGCTTCAGCCCTGTGTGGGAACTGTGCACTCCTCACGTTTTTCAGTGAGGGCGGTTTGCAGCCCGTCATCAGGGCTGGGGCACTTGGGGAATTGCAGAAACACTTGCGCTCTCTGTTTCCTGCTTTTCCCCTTTCCTGGCATCCAAGAGGCACAGAGCAGCAGAGCCTTGGGTTAACTGCTGTTGAGAGTAATGTGTTTCAAGTGCTAATAAATAATTTTTGTCGTGAGCAGACAGGATGATGATGTGACTCAGGGTCAGGTACTGAAAAATAATGAGCATTGCATGAGGTGCTGTGAGACTTGTATTTCTTGTTAAAGAGAGGTGTGATCCGGTTGTAATAGTTACAGGTTATTGTTGTGATAGCCACTAACAGGACAAGGAGGATGGCTTTAAACTGAAAGAATAGTTTTAGAGTAGATAATGGGAAGCAGTTCTTCCCTGTGAAGCAGTGGCTTCTCCTGGATCCCTGGAAGTGTCCAAAGCCAGGTTGGATGGGGCTTGGAGCAGCCTGGGACAGTGGAAGGTCCCTGGCCATGGAACAAGGTGAGTTTTATGGCTCCTTCCAGCCAAACCATTCAGTGATTTGTTTGTGGTGCTGCCCTGCTGCCTGATGTCCACAAACACATTGAACCAACCCTATCTATGACACATCCTCATTGAAATGGGCAACAGGAGAGGGGGCACAAGTAAATATGATCAAATTCTCTGAGAAAAATCTTACTTTCAAAACCATGTGAGGAAACCCTTTGAGGGATAGGGGAGGTTTTGAAGCCATATTTTGGGTCATGGAGAGCTGCACTGCGCTCTTAAGGAAATAAATATTAAATGTGCAGCTCTGGGCTGCCCCATACAGGGAAGACACCACCATGCTGGAACCAGCCCAGCAGAGCCCCAAAGATGATTAAGGGTGTTTGGTGCATGAGGCAAGGCTGAAAGATGGATCAGCCTAGAGAAGAGAAAGGTCAGTGGGATCTCCTAAATGTATTTAACCATAAAGACATGGTGGGAGTGAATAAAGAAGATGGAGCTAGACTTTCTTGAGTCGAGACTACAAAAGAGGCAACAAGCACAAACTGATAGGTAAATGCTTCTAGTTAAACAGAAACAAAAGTATTCCCTGCTATGATGATTGAGCACTGAAACAGGTTCCCTATAGAGAGGCTGTGGCATATTCATCCTTGGAGATAATCAAAACCCAAATGGAAACAATCCTGAGCAACCTGCTGCAGTTGACACTGCTGTGGGCAGGGGGAATGAACCAAAGGTCTCCAAAGGTCTCTTCCAGCCTCACCTGTTCTGCAGATACACAATTCCCTGATGGAATTGAAGAAAAGTCTTTGTTTTATTTAAAGCAAGAGTTGTTTTTTTTTCCTATGCTTTTTTATTTTACTGTTCAGTTGCTATAAATTAGTGAAATTTCTTGGTGTTCTTTTTATCTGCCAGCACTAACCTTCAGTTTGCTCTGCAGGTACCCTGTAGCATGGCAGGTGAAGAGGACTTCTTTTTGGAGGAGAAAAGATTCAAGCAGTACTGTGAAGACTTTGTTAAACATTCGCAACAGATAGGAGATGGTTGGGAGTGGAGAGCCAGCAAGGTAAAACAATCACAGCGTTGACTTTTTGAATCTCTTGGTGGACTTCTTGAGCTGTTGACAACCACCACAAGCTGGAACATCCTTTAGCAGCACAGGAAGCAAATTTTTCACACAGCTGGTCCAAGGCTGTAGCAGTGCATAGGTGTCAAGTTGTTGTGAGGGTTTAGGCTGGTGCACGTATTGGATCTGTGGATCTCTGAATCTTGGCCAAAACCCTTTGCTGTGGGCAGGACCAGACAATGAATGTGGTGTCACTGTGAAATTCAATTCCTCCTACTCTGGGCAACTGCCTGTGGTTTTATATCCAAGGTTTGCTTTAACCCTTTAGGTTGAAATACCACATAGCCTTTGTTCTGGATTCTTGGCTTAGTATTTTCATTACAGTACCTGTCAGTTGCATATGGGAACCAGAAATATCTGCCAGTATTAATGATCAATTCTCATTATTTGCTGCTTCTCCATAACTTTCAAACCTCTACGATAATAATTACATATTGTTTCTAGGTCATTAATCAAAATTTTAAATAGCACAGGGCTAAGATTAGTCCCAAAGGACCCTATTAGAATCACTTCTTTTATGATGATTTCCCCATTTTTTAAGTTACACTTGAGATCTGTGAATTAATAAATTTTCATCCTATAGCATGTGTAAGATTAGTGTGGGACTATTTTAATTTTTTTAAATTTACACTTGTGGAATCCACAGATATTTTAGGGAATTCTGAGCAGGTATTATTCCTACTTGTATGTTTATCAACCAAACATGTCTCCTGAAATTACACTGAGAAATTCTGTTTTCTTTAAGAAAAATACTTTTACTATACATATTTTTTTTCATTTACTGAATTTGATGACTTTTGTTATGTTCCTCAGGATAATGTCCAACTAATATGTATGTAGGTACACAAATTAGCCAATATATGTATTATAGTGTATAAATACATATTGATACAGTATATAAAAATGTATTGTTACAGTGTATGAAGATGTATTGATACATGCTGGCTTTTTCTGACATGTAGGTTTTCATGTTCTCTTTTTTGTGTGTTCTTTCTATTGTAGAAAATTTGCTGCTCTAGCTTTTTTTTTTTTCTTTCTTTTTTTTACGGTTTAATGGCTTAGTGGTTTCCCATGCTTTCATGAATTTTTTGAAAAAAGTCCATGCTTTTTCCAATGTGTGCCATCATTTTTACATATGTAGTTGTACATTAATGTTTGTAACCCTTTCATCACAGACAATCAGAATTTCAGTAAGAGGGAGGACTTTGGACTTTAGATTTTTTCTGTTTAGGAATTTTTAAAAGAGTGTAAATATTAGCCAAGTGTTACAATGCATCCTTTCTTACAGCAAACCATTTGAAACTTTAGATTTCAGTCCAAGGCTATATTTGTGAGGATTTATTCAACAAAGAAAGATGCTCTGAGCCTCCTCTACTGGGAATTTAATACATGGGTCAAAGTCTGAACTTTCTGTGAAATAAGAAGCTTTGCTGGAAATAGCAGAATGAGATAGATTTTTGTTCTCATATAAAAAAATTCTAAGAGGGTTGTTTTCTTTTTTTAATGGGCCAAGTTGGCGACTCTGTGATTTCAGCGTGTGATAAAAACCTGGCCATGGAGACCATCCATTTATAATGTGCAGTCTGGGAAGAAAGCTTTTCCTCAACAAGATGTCTCATTGTCTTTTTACCTTTTTTTTTCTTTTTTTTTCTTTTTTTTTTTACCCAGTATATGTGTTGTGGGTAGTTTGGGGCACTCTTAATTTTGCTGATGTAATGCACTTGGATCCCATTCCTCATTCCTGGCTCACGTGAATAGACCCATTGATAGCAGTGAGACCACACAAGTGAAGCAGGCTGGTAGAACTGTGTTCCTGTGTTCCCGTGTTTTTCTGTGGAGATTAAATTTAGATGATGAAATACTCATTGTTCTCATGGAGCTGGCTCTTGGTGCGTAAGCTCACATGGCCCGAGCAGAACCCTGTATTTATAGCTGTAAGTGAAATGTTCCAAATGATGTTATTTTTATAATGTGTTTTCTTGGTTTGGGTTTTTTTTCCACTGGAAGAAAGCTGTAAAAAAGCCAAGAGCACCTCTAGTGCAGGAGCTGGTGGAGCTGAACTCGGGTGCTGCTGTTAGGGATGACTGGTTAAATCTTGCTGTGGAGATGGAGATTTAACTGAAGCAAACGAGGCCCTGTTTGCTCTCTGCTTTATGTTTGTTTCATGTTTGGAGAGGTTAATCCAGGTAATCATACCAAAAGCTGCATTAGTTCCTTTTGGCTTTTGATACAGCTGCAGTAGGAAGGGACTCCCTTTGCAAATTAGTGGGATCAAGGTTCTGGCTACAGCTTTGATTTATAGGGGTATAGAAATGTGCAGAGTACAAAGCACTACAGAGTGCAGCAGGAGGGATGCTCCTCCTTCCTTCCTGCCCTGAGACACAGCTACCAAACACAGAGACTGCTGGCTCCATCCATCCATGCATCCATCCATGCATCCATCCATCCATCCA